CCCAGAGAGGTGGAGTCTAAGACCCAACCTGACATATAGACACAGACGTACAGGCACTCACAGACACAAACGTGTATTCCCACCCCCATATACACATAAGCATGCTCTCAATTTTTACAGCCCTATTAAAACAAATATCAGTCTGTACACGCTTCAGATAGCTTTTCTTCAAATTCTTTAATTCTCAATCTCTTTTGCAACTTTGTGCTTTTGTGTTACTCGCAGCAACAACTCCACCTCATTGTTCGTCCATTTAAAAACTCGGTGCTTTTCCACGATATTTTGCCGCAACGTTTCAAAGAGCCAGAGAGTAAATAAACGGCAGACAGAACTGAGGCAGGTCGAATCGTCTTGCGTTTCACGCCAGGGCAGGACTGGAACGTAAGCATTTTCGGCTGATTCAATGTGGACGCACAACTCTGTGAAAACGACTGAAAACAATAATGTGGACGCGGAGCGTTTTCAGATGAAAACACCGTTTTCAAATCTATCCGGGCTAGTTTGGACGTAGCCTTAAATTTCACCATGTAGTTTGAGTCATCATTGCAGACCTCCATGGTGTGATGCAGGTGTCAGAAAGCACCTGAACATGAGACACATGGCTCACCTCCAAGAAGCTCAGTCACAAACCTGTAGTAGACAGTTCAAGAAAGGAATTATTAATGTTGGAGTCAAATTGTTAAATGTTGTCATTGTGTTACTTAAATTTGTAAGTCTTAGTTCAAGCAGCATGATCAAAGACATTCCTTTGTCTCTGACCACCTCTCCAACCAGTTTGTTGGTGGGGGAGGCTGTAGTGTTTTATTATAAGGACATCTATGTGAGGGTTCTGTTTTCTTGCTTAGTGAACTTCCTGCCTTTATGACCCTTTTGGTAAGCAGGAGGTCACACAAACGCACCCCCAAACACAAGCATACACACTCACACACTCACACTAGCACACACTCGCACACGCACACACTCGCACACACATGCCTACACACACACACACACACACACACATATGTGTATATATGAAATATATACAAAAATATGTGCATCAGGAAACCAAGCAAGAAACACAAATATTGCATTCATACGGTGGCTCTGTTTGCAGCTTTGCTCTATAGTTCTATAGTTCTCAGTGGAAATAGTTTATAAAAGAGTCAGACAGAGTTTTATTTAAATTTCAGTTTAAAAAAACAAAAAACAAAACATTACTCACATTTCCCAGGAACCAGCCCACTGTGTGGTCACTGACACAGCTTACATCACCATGAAAACAGCAGCACGTTTAATCTGAGAGAGAGGGCAGGACTTCCTCTTGCCTCATGCCCACTTCTGGTTAGGGACACTATTTCTGTTTTGCATTAGTGTAATGAAATACTTTAAATGAGTCATCCTTAGCTTTGTCAGTTAAGAAAACCTTAATGTTGTATGAATCTGTTTTCTTGGTTGTTTATAAAGTTCTGTGTCTCAGGTGGGCTGGAGCCTATCCCAGCTGATGAGAGGTGAGATACACCCTGGACAGATGACTGTATTTGTTCATGGAAATGTATTAATTGGATATTTGAAGCAATGTAATGATTTTGTGCAGCAGCCTTTAGTGCGACATTAGCATTTTGTGTCTTTTTATGTATGTTTCTGTATGATGATGCTTCGATGCTGTGATTTGATGCTTCTAATGGTTTATGACAAACAGTATTCGGTGTGTGTGGTGTGTGAAGTTGCAGCCAGAGCTGTGTTCTTGTTGTGTTTTTGGCACGTAAGATAACCTAAAAACTTCACATTTAAAAGTTGTAATAATATTGTGATCTTATTTTGCCTTTTTAGCTGCTCAGTCACGCTGATATTTGTATAATAAAATCTTACTGCATGTCTGTTTTTGTTCAGTCTAGTTTTTGTATTACAGGCCTTTTCATAAAGAAAGTACCTGATGTTTCTGCAGCAGCAGGAGAGTATAAAGATGTCACACATGCTGTGGTCAGATCTTGTTAAGTTGCTATTTCTGTGTAAAAGGAAGGAAGCAGAAGAAGAAGTTAAAAAAAGTCTTTGTTTCCTTCACAGCTCTTTGGTATCTGCTGTGCTGCTGCTTCACTCTCTCTCTTTACAGAAAGTTGTAGAAGTTTTCAGACGTGTCACTGCTGGATGTGAGGATGGGAGCCACTTTGCTCTGTGAGCTGGGCCTATTCTGTGAGTACATCACTGACTCCTATTGTTTGATTCATACTGATCCATAAACATGTTTTAGTAAGAAGAACAGAGCATCAGTCATTTGTACCATTGCAGGTCATGTGATCAGAGGACTCTCATGTTTGTTACCAACGTGTTTTGATGGTTGACTCTAATCTGAGTCGGTGTGTGGAGCTGGTTTAGTTTATCTAAGAAAGATTTATTGTCATGGTTTGCTGTGTGGCAGGCAGGATGTTGGACCCAAGTGTAGGACTCGTAAACAGAGGAGTAAACTCAAAACAATAGCTTTAACGCTGGAAAACTTCTCATCCAAATACAAAGCAAAACTAGAAACTCAAACACTAGAAAATAAACCAGAAACTGAAAACTAGGAATAGACTTGGAACAGGGAGGAAAGAAACACACAGCATTATGAGGGTATGACCTGGCAAAACAGACAGCGAGACACACAGGACTTAAACACACAGGCAGGACAACAAGATGATGGGGAACAGGTGGCAACACAGCCAGGACAAACCAGACTTAACGAGAAAAGGGAAGCAAAACTGGACACACTGCACACAGGACAGGGACTATCAAAATAAAACAGGAAACACACAACAGGCACAGAGGCACAGCGTTGACACTGATCAGAGGGAACACAGAGCACAGGGACAGGAGTGACAAACTGCGACATGAGACACGACTGACTGGGGAAATAAACAAGAAGACAGAACTGAACCTACACTAAACATGAGGGGCACAGGAACAAAACCCAAGAACTAGAAATCACAAAACAAACAACAACTAAAGCTAGAAATACAGATCCACAAACAATAAGACTAGTAATAATAAACCAGGGGTAGGTACCTGGTTGCCTTTGGTTGTGTTTAGTTTAGTTATGTTTCACTTAGGTCTTCTGTGTTAGTCTGTCATGTTTCCAGTCTTCTGGTTCATGTTTTCAAACTTGTGTTGTCATGTCTGCTTTCCACTCTGTTTCCTGTTTTATGATGATTGACAACCTACACAGACATATTTGAGTGTCGCTACTTTGATAATGTCTGAAGTTTCTGTCTTTATTTTAGTGCTCTGCACGCTTCTCTGCACTGGACACGCTCAAGGTGACAAAACACTTTTCACTTTTTTTGTTTTTCTTTTTCATTTATCTTACTTCTGTTTACATACTACTGTTTCAGTCTTAAGCACTTTACATTTTTCTTTTTTTTTATTTATTTATTTATATATCTATCACTATCTTTATAATTTTGTGAATATAAACTAAGGTTGTGCCTTCAATAGTACATGAAGTGTTTCAGATTGTTAACTGTGTGGTTGTGTTGGATTCTAGATGCTGTGCTAACTATTGAACCCAATGGTCCAGTTTTTTCATTGGAGAGTTTGTTACCTTCAAATGTGACATGAATGAAGGAGAAGACACTGACTGGTATTACCAAATCAACAGGGATGGTCAAGAAGTTTTCTCCTACAGGCCAAACAAAGACTCCAAATTAGAAATTACATCTACAGGTTACAGTGGTGAATATCAGTGCATTGGTGACAGGAAGAGCTCACATGATAAAAAGACAGTAATACTGTCTCTATAACTGTATTAGGTAAGTCTTCAGTGACCGACAGCATAAATGTATGATCCCTGTTCAAATACTCAACTGAACAACATTTAATTAAATTTGTCATTGAAACTTGAACTTTAACCAGGACCAGTGTAAAGTCAGTGCGTCAATACTCACAGACTCTGCAAGTTGTCATTAACAAAATTAACAAATTGAGTTTTAACAACAGAGTCAATCGTGGATGAAATTAAATTTAATTACATTTCTAAAGGAAAAGAAGAAACATGAAAAGCTTCATGAAGTTTAAAGTGATGATGTTTCTGTTATCTAAACCAACTAATCAGCATTAGTTTACATTCAGGGCCATAGAATGGACAAACATGTAGACCGTGGTTATTTAGAGATCAGCAAATATTAATGTAATATAAACTGTGTTTTTTTTTTAATGTTCTTATGTTGTTATAATGAAAAACATATTTATTTTTCTTCCTCTTTCATAACAGCATATAGACCCTGGGCCACACTGACAGCAGGAACAACAATCATACCAGTAGGGGGCAGTGTGACACTGACCTGCTCTGTGCAGAGCTCTGATGGATGGAAATATGAGTGGTTCAGACGAACCCAAACAACCTCTGAAGGTCAAATCAGAGATCAACAAAACAGAGATATCAGAGTATCTCAAGGAGGAATCTACCGCTGCAGAGGAACAAGAGGAAACCCAGTTTACTACACTGATAGAAGTGATGATGTCACCATTGAGATAACCTGTGAGTTCAGTCATTTAGTTTGAAATATACATTCACTCATGATTATCAAACATACAATGTTGAGTTTTCTGTGTTGATTTCATGTTTCTATTTGTATCTCAACTGTTAATATGTGTAAACAGTTTCCAATAAAGTTGTTGTAAAACAACAACCCAACTGGCCTCAGATATTCAGAGGTGAGACGATCACTCTGACATGTGAGGTGCAGGAAGGAGGTGAAACCACTGAGTGGGAGTATGAATGGAGAGGACCCAGGGGTCACCTGAGGACAATAATGACAGAAATACATAAACAGAAAATTGTTAGAAAAATTATTTTTGCAAACAGACACCGAAGTCATTTCTGTGGCAATAGAAAGTGGACAAAATGTGTGGGCTGAACCTGCCAATCATTCATGAGCTACCTTTGTTGTTTGTGGTGTGTACTTTTGTTTATGCACTTTCTCTGCACCTATAGAAAGGGGCTGAGCCTGTCTGTTGTAGATGTCCGTACCCTGGCAAAGAGTAACGGGTACTGTCAGAAGTTAAATAATGAACAGATGATGAGCAGGTTTATTGTAACAATCCAAAGAGATGTAATATGTTACACACATTTTATTAGCCATTATTTAGAGATAATACGATTTGTATGATTTTTATTTGATTTGAAGTTGTCTTTGCAATTGATAGAGCTACTGATGGGTGAAATCAATGAAGTATTCAGCTTTATTTTTTTACAATTATTATAGATTTTTTTAAGGCTGTAAAACTGCCCACTACACACTTTATACACTTTTCTCAGACAGGCATGAACATTTTCACATTTTCCCTCTGGTTTAAACACTCTCAAAGTTCAAACCTCTGTAGAAAAATAAGTCCAGTATTATAGAATGACGGTGCAAAATGTTTCATCAACATTGTTGTGTTTGTTGGGGATAAAACTCACACTGCTAGCGATCGAAGATTTATGTAAATTTGATAAGCTGAATGCATTCTGTACAGGAGACATTGCACGAGATTGATTGACAATGGTCTACAGCCAATTAGGACGAAGAACACAATGCGCTGTAAA